AAAATTTAGGGTATGACTTAACAAGAGTTCTTAGGTTTTATGTCTAACGAGTGGTCGCAAGTGCGACTGTCGGGCAAGGGGTCTCGGGTTCGATTCTCGGATCGGACAAAGTATCACTATGGTTTCTAAAAATGCTCAGTATTAGCACTTAATCTGGAATTGTTCCCGGTATATGGACATAGACTCACCTCCTATTACATGGGACTCATAACATAAATAGTGAAAAGTGGGTGTCACATTATACAGTGGAAATAAGTGCTGTAATGTGCACCTCTGCCTACCCCTCGGGGATAAAAGGCGTGATGTTATGTATGTATGATGTCGAGGTTAAAATTAGATATTTTTTATTTAGTCTTTGAGAATAGCAAGTTGTTGTATCATAGTTACTAATTATTTTGGAACTTAGAACAGTTCCATATTTACCTGTATGTACATTAATAGAAGTAACTACATAATTATGTACTTCAAACTTCGATCAACAATAACAACTAGATAAAGGGTTACGTACAAAATCAAGCTCCAGTTCTGTCCGTGTGAATAATAATAGTAAAAAAATAACAAACAGAGAAAAATGTTTTAAAATAGTTTTAAGTTCAACCTAATAACGACCATGGCACCTAATAATATAGTCATAAATCGTTAAAATATTATCTAATACTTACGACCATTTGTCACATAAGACGAGAAAAGTATTTTCTTCCTCCTGTCATGTAGAAATTAAAATACATAAGTTATACAATATCTAGTTTGAATTCAACCTTAAGCTTGAACAAATAAAGATAATTTTTCCATTATTGTCTTGCGATCTATATCGTTTTGTTTTGTTTCGTTTTGCTTCTTCAAATTTCGAATTTCGCTACAGGAGGTATGTATGGAGTCGCGTTGGACACTAAAATAATTTTATAATATGAAAATTAAGATTTCGGGATCTTAGTATACATCACTTATTTTTATTATCGGTTCGTTTTTGTGTATGATATGTTTATTTACTTTATCATTAAAAGTCTAAGTCTAAGTCAAAATAATTTATTTCAGCCAGACCACGAAGGCACTTTTGAACGTCAACAATATAAATTTAAAAGTGAAGCTATTTGCTCATTCCAAGGTGTAGATTCCTATGGAGAAGAACGAGCAATAAACTCCATAGGTTAGATACTCTTTTCCAATCAGGTTACAATACAATTTTATTTTACAATACAAATCGACTCCATGCATCCACTGTTCTGTTTAAACAAATGTTTGTGCGCGTGTTGGCGAGGCTTGGCCAAGGGATTGCCAACACACGCACAAACATTGGTGGCGTTGGTTGATAATTGGTAATTTTATCTAATTTGATATTATTTACTAATTAAAAAGCTTAAAATATAACTTATACTTTATGTACTTATCAAAAGTTAGACACTCCGGCCGTTACACTGCTTTTTCGGTCATTATTTTTGCAACTTGCAATGACTCACTGCGGTATCGTGAGACGTGAGTATGTTGGCCGTGTTTGGAGCATACTAAACAAAATAAGAGCTCACTTCTCAAGTGAGCTCTTATTTGTCGAGACGATTTTCTTGCGCCGACCCGATATCTAGTTGTTATTGTTGATCGAAGACTTCAAATTACAATATAGTATTAATGATATTGCAATGTTAATGCAACTTAAACTTAAATTCTACTACAATAGCACTCACTTTAGTCTGGCAGAGGTCGAGCGCTTCGTGTATATCTCGTATCCGCTCCTCGCTCTGGTATTGAACCTTCTCCTCCACATCCGTTAAAGCTTGCTTTAGGTTCTCCACCTATAAATAAAATACAATGTTATCAATAATTGTATGAACTACGAACATGTCTGTTATCTATAGCTTTTTGGAAACCCTAAATAAGTCAAAATTGTAGCAGCAAATTGGATATCTATACCGGCACCTCTTTTGAAACCGATGAAGGTTTATTGGGTGTTTAACAAAAAGATAAATACTTACTAGTAATTACAATGAGAATAATAACAAAACTAGCGTAAAGGGAAAGTAAACCTTAGACAGCCCTTTCTGAAAGTACTATGTTAACAATCAAAATATCTAATTGAAGACTTAATGCTACACTAGCGCCACTGACGATGTTTACAAATTCATAGTAAAATTTACTGCCTCATTGGCCGAGTGGTCGCAAGTGCGACTGCCGGGCAAGAGGTCTCGGGTTCGATTCCCGGGTCGGGCAAATTATTACTGGGTTTTAAAAAAAATCACAGTAGTAGCACGGAGCCTGGATTTGTGCCCGGTATATGACAATAGGCTCACCCCCTATTACATGGGACTCATAACAAAAATAGTGAAAAGTGGGTGTTACATTGTACAGTAGCATAATGTACACCCCTGCCTACTTCTTCGGGGATAAAAGGCGTTATGTTATGTTGTAAAAAGACATTCACCCATTCTAAGAAATTTATATTTTTATACGATAAACAATTAAAATATCAATATCTGACAACCTAATTCTACGTAAGGCTTATAAAACAAACATGGAATTGTATATTACCTCATTTTGGTGTAGTTCAGTGAGATCATTAATTTGTTCCTCCAGCCGCTCAGTCTTGAACCGCTCCTCCTGTAGTGCGGCCGACAGGAACGATACCTCTTGTGACAGGTTCTATACAAAGAATACCATTGTTTAATAATATAATTGAACACAAGCCGACTGGAACAAATTAATCGGCAACTGATTATGAAGATTTGAATCCCTTTCTCTGTGTGTGAATAGTCTATCAGCAGAGATCGGCATTATATTTGCCTATTTGGTAAAAACTCAACAAGAATCTGGGAGTTGAAATCGAAATTTTTTACTGCTGGCTATTTCTTCGGCGAATAAAACAAATCTATATATACGTTTACTGCTCAAAACATACATAAATGATAATGTCTGAAGTGCTAAAGAACAAATGGTATCGTAATTACCACCTTCAATGCGTCTATCTTCTCAGATAGCCGCTCGTAGTCTTCCCGGCGCTCGCGCAGCTCATTTAGTATGGGTTTCAGGGTAAACGTCGGCTCCGATATGTTATTCGAACCGGTCTGTGCTGGGTACCTGAATAAATATAAAGGATATAATTTTATAATTCGGAGACTTCAAAAATTACGTATTTAGATAGATCAAAATCGGATAACACAGTATACTGATTCCCAAAGCTCTTCTCTGACTGGTCGCCATCCTTTCGTCAAGGATTGTTATAGATATTCATCGGACTGACAATCTGGATCGAGGGCAAAGGTTCATCTTCGGATCACGCAGATTAGATACCTTCTGACGATAATCATTCTGATTTCAAAAAATCCATTAGACTCTTTTCGTCAATGCGGTTATCCAATCCGCGAAACGTTGCGCAAGCTCATCAACCGAGCAGATGTGTATGTAATCATCAACATTCTACAATAATAGTACATAAGATACTTACGGCGCTCCTTCACTCGTAACAGAGGAACTGGGCGATGCTTCAGGCGAGAATTTGGGCGCTGGTGAGGTGGCGGCGCGGGGTAACGTGGAACCTCTCGGTGCGGCTGCCTCACCGGCCTCGGACGCGCGGGATCCTTCAGACGACGCGTTCGCTAACACGTTGTAGCAATACTCAATACATGGCAGATATTTTTATGTTGGAGGTATAGACTTTTAGAATGAGAAGTGGTTTTGCAAATCAATTTGGTACTGTTTTTATAACAACTATCGTGAGACATACTAAAATGACTAAAAATCGCGGGTTACTCACGTGAAAATAATGAGAAAAGCTCTACTACTTTCAGAAGACTACGCGACGTCGCCGCGACCGCGAACGTTGCTCATGAGTAAGAGCCCCTCTGTGGTTCGTAACTAATAGAGCTTTTCTCAGTATTGTCACGTGAGTAACCCGCGATTTCTAGTCAATTTAGTACTAGCGAAGTAGTACACTAATTTTAGATCAGTTCTCTCAAAAATGTAGGCGATAAAATAAGGTTAGGAGACTAATCTGTTTAGTACTGTAAGTTTGAGTTAGCTGTTTTAATATCTAGGGCAATAAAATAAAATTTCACTCTCAGGAGGGTTTTAAAAAGTTTATGAACTTTGCCCAGTTACCAGTTAATGGTCTTTATCAGATTAACTGATTGTCTGTATTTTTCATAGAGCGACTTCAACCTATCCTATCCTGATTCTAATTAGACCCATTAGCAGTTTTTAAAAACTTTCAATTATGTTATCGAGACAATAGACTACTTCTTTTATAATCAACTATAATTTTACATCGTGATACATGAATTGATTTTTGAACCATTTCTCATTGTAAAAGATGTACCCGAAACATAAAAAATAAAACAAAATAACATAATGTAGGGAGAGTGTATACAGTGGAATTTGAAAATAAAAATGAGTAGAAATTAGATAGAGTGAGATAGTGCTCAATTCATAGCGAAGAAGAGAGAGATGGAATTACATAATACATGCTAAAATGGAAGTATTGATTACTCTTTTTACATAAGTTAAATAGATTTATATTCATACCAATAGATGAAGAAGTCAAGAAAGGCGAAAGATATAGATTTCTTATGAAATTGCTTTTTTATTAAAAAAATATTTACAATAGTTGTACAAGTTACTAATCCTAAAATTGGTTACAAATCCTTGTGATTTATAATAAAAAAAATGGTGACAAATAGAGGGATATCATAATAAACTAATATTAAAAAGGCCTAGTTTTCTTAACTACATTACCAACTAATTATGTAACTAGTACTTTTGTTAATTCGAAATTATAATTCCAAAAAGTCAAAAGAACCTTCATTAAATGTATTAGCGAACTCAAAAGAAACCAAGTTAGACCGAATTAGTTTTGCAAAGTATTTTTTATTAAAATAAAATCAATGCCAATACCAATTATTGTGAAAAGCTTCTGTTTTAGCGTTTTCAGTGAATTAAAACTTTCGCGAGACGTACTCAATTAATTATTATGTTTTCAGCTTCGCACTCGCGCTGCTACTGAACACTGCTCAGTAGCAGCGCGACAGTCGCCGCGTCGCGTGTCGCAGAATGCTGCTCATGAATATGAGGCTCTAGCATGGCTTGAAACTAATCAAGTTCCTCGTGAAACATTTACGTGAGTAAGCCGAAAACATAATAATTAGTTTTCAGTGAAATTAGAAGCAAATAGCAATTTCGTTTTAGTTTTTTTTCCGATCTTGCATATTGTCTTTAAAGATTTAAAATAAAATCGTAAGACAATACCTACAAATGTTTTCGATAAAAAGATTGCTAATCCACTACCATTAATTACAAATGATAGCCATATTGTATAAAAAAATACAGTCGAATTGAGAACATCCTCCTTCTTTGAAGTCGGTTGAAAATGTAATGATAATCGTAACATACATTTACATGTACATCCACAAAGTGTTTTTTTATGTGTTCAGTAGTGTCGTGAGTGCATTGAGTAACACAAATTACAAATACATATCCGACCCAGACCCAGATGCACAATTTATGGATCACACAATTTATTATTTGTGTGGGAATCGAATCCCCAACACATAGCACAACAGCCTGTATCTCAGCTACTGTGCCTGTGAAGTTGATGAAACAAACAATACAATATGACATTACACATCTTGTGAAGGTGTTTTAAAGTTCTTAAGGCATTGGCTGCCAATAAAAAACTGTTGAAGGCAAATCCTCCGCTAATGTCGGTCACCGGTGACTGCCATGGCGTTTAACGTGTTAAACTGAATTTTTATAGTGGATTAGCAACCATAAATAAAAATAGCTATTATAACTCATAGTTCATTTCTTATATACTTGTAACCTTCTATACATAATGTATTGTATATAAAAACGTTTATTTACCTCTTAGTTCCGCGTGAGGAGGCGCTGGCGTGCAAAAGGACATCGCATGATAAGCAACACAAATTGACACTTGTATATTTGCACGGAGTAATTGTTTCATGGAGTGCTAACGTGGTTTAATTATAATTATTACTTTACTATTATTTGAATATGGCGAAGAAAAAACTATTGTTGTAATACTGGTGTAAACTAATTTGAGTGATCATAGAAAGGGAAGTAAACATACGATTGAAATTAGTAACCAATGGTAATCCAAAACCTTTCGATTGATCTCAGTATTTGACAAGCTCCATAAGACTAAGGTTTTATATTACAATCGGTTATTTATTTCAGTCGTAACACGAAATTTTTAGTCCCCAGTTTTAGCACTAAACATTAGTTTAATTTACATAAATATCGCACTTCTAGGTCTTACTTCGTCGCATAGTTTCAAATTATCACACAATACTCAATGACGTTATATGCAAATTAGTTCGTGGATACATCGTCAAGTCACATTAGCACTCCATTATCTTACTACTCTGTGTTTGCTAAATGACAAGCAGGGATCACAGCAATTACCATAGTTAGATGGGTGAGTCTAGGTGCCCTAGGTAATACGTGGTCTGTGTTACTTAGCTAAGTACCTGTTTTTATCTAGTGCCTAGTGCTATGTCGTTGTTTTTGTTGATATATGTCAAAAAAGATGTTAAAAATACTAGCTGTCTTATTGTAAATGTTTCAAAGATTGTGTTAAAGATACTAGCAATAACAATCTGTCATATTGGGAACCTAAACAATTATGTAAGGGGAATGACAAATAAAAAGAATTTTAAAACGTCGTTCTTAAAATAACGTAAGATTACTAAATAACGTTTCCATAAATAACTACAAACTAAACACGGTTCTTGTTCACATTTCAATAGACTAAACGACATATACAAATTGGCTTTCATTTTTACACAATGAAATAAATAATAATCACATAATAATGTGTCATAGTATGACGGCATTAAAGGATATATTATATTATAAATATTTACATTTCTTTCGGCAGCGTTTACACTTATTGAAGAGCATCGCATCACGACTGTAGCGCACTGAGTTTCACTAAACACTGACTATATTTTGCAGATTACATATACATACTAATATTATAAATGTGAAAGCGTGTATCTGTTTGTTTGTCCGTCTTTTATGGCAGAACGGTGCGATGAATTAACGTTATTTTTTAAATAGAGATAGTTGGAGGAATACAGTACAGGAATACAGTACAGTATCTGTCTATCTCTCTATTTCTCTAAAATGCCCTCATTTTAGAGAAATAGAGATAGAATAATGAAGTTGGTATTTATTGCATTTTGTAATTTTCAAGCTAAAAATTGGTATGCGAATTATTTTGTAATAAAAAATTCTGCATCTTTTATTCGCTTCCATCACATTAAAAGATCGCGAGTGAAGTCGTAGGCAAATCAAGTATGATATAAAGACAGATCGTTGTCAAACTATCTAGATATACATGATAAGTGCTATGTCAGGTGTTTACGTACATATATATTAGTCATACGACCATGTACATTATATGCAAAGTACATATATTCATTCTTTTTAAGATGGTAAATGAGTGGATTATAAACAAATATGTAATCGAACTTTGTATTCTGAGTCATATTATTATGAAGGTAAAGTTTGTTTTTCTGATGAAATTGGTTTGTGTTTTAATTAATTCGCGTGTATAAGATAAGAAACAAATGATTTATTTTATTGATTGATAGAATTTGAAATTGTTTGGTGGTACAACTGCGTATGCAGATTTTAATATTGTTAGAGCCATTATCATTTTAGGCAGATCAATGTGTCAATGACTTGTTGATAAGAGCACTCTCAATTTTTATAAACATTGAGATTAAAATTGGCAGTATGTTTCTTCAAGACTAACTACACTTCAAACCATGTTGTAAACAAAAAGTTATGTATCATTATCTATATAAATAAAAATGAATTTCTGTTCGTTAGTCTCGCTAAAACTCGAGAACGGCTGAACTGATTTGGCTAATTTTCGCCTTGATAGGTTTGTGGAAGTCTAGGGAAGGTTTAAAAGGTATGAAAAAACTTTTAGACGGTACTAAGTTTGCCGGGTCAGCTAGTTATCTGTATATATAAAAATAAAACCCATGATTTGGCAGATTTTTTGTTGTATTTATTATTGTCAGGAGAAGGTTCTTATGATAGAAAAAAATCCTGAAAATTTGGCTTAGTAGCGGTTTCGCCCTAATTTTGTTCGCCCGAATCGGGCGAATGAACTACTTTCAATTTTGAATATTTTTTAGGGCCGGTTTCGCCCGAGACAAATTTAATAGCGGGCGAATCAGGTCAAGTAAAATTTAGTAATGGACTATTCGCCCAAATACTATTATACCTTAAAAAAAAATAAGTAGTACAGTCGAGCGCACCATGTATAAATATTTTTAAAGAGGATTTACTTAGGCACATGTGTTACTCAAAAATAGTAAGTAACCTACTAGATAATATGCACAATGACTTTTGTTCCTCAGCGATAGAAGTAAAGACACAGCAAATAAACGCACCCACAGGAACACAAAAGTAGTATAATGCTGTCTCTGTCACTCATTTGCAAATACTTTAAAAATATTTATACATTATAAAAAATATTGGCTTAGTAGCGGTTTCGCCCTAATTTTGTTCGCCCGAATCGGGCGAATGAACTACTTTCAATTTTGAATATTTTTTAGGGCCGGTTTCGCCCGAGACAAATTTAATAGCGGGCGAATCAGGTCAAGTAAAATTTAGTAATGGACTATTCGCCCAAATACTATTATACCTTAAAAAAAATAAGTAGTACAGTCGAGCGCACCATGTATAAATATTTTTAAAGAGGATTTACTTAGGCACATGTGTTACTCAAAAATAGTAAGTAACCTACTAGATAATATGCATTAGATAATACTATTTTTACTTTTTTTTACAGTTTTTTTTTACTGTAATCTGTATAAAATCATGATTTCAATCTAACCCAATGCGTTTTTTAATAAAAAAGCATTGAAATTATTTTTTTTACTAAAACGTGCAATGCAGATTACAGTAAAAAAAAACTGCAGAAAAAAACGGAAAAATTAAGAAAAAGCCGACGCAAAATTCCAACGCAGGGGGGTTCAGAATCATGTACTGAATTCATGGTAAGCGGCTTCGGTACACCGTCCCTTACACCCTTCATAATATTAGACATACAGGAATAACCAGATTCACCAACAGAAAGAAAAATGATTGTAAGTAACAATTGTGTGCGCAACTGTACTTTTTTATAAAATTTTACATTTTATTATAAAATAAAGGCTTATTTTTTTGAGGTATAATAGTATTTGGGCGAATAGTCCATTACTAAATTTTACTTGACCTGATTCGCCCGCCATTAAATTTGTCTCGGGCGAAACCGGCCCTAAAAAATATTCAAAATTGAAAGTAGTTCATTCGCCCGATTCGGGCGAACAAAATTAGGGCGAAACCGCTACTAAGCCGAAAATTTTATGGGAACGGGAGAAAACGGGATTGCGCGTACGAAGTCGCGGGCAGAAGCTAGTGAATGATAATTACCAAAGTGAATGAGTGCAGTAAAACTTGGTACTATCACCGTAATAAAACGGATTTTGTGTTTATGTTTGGGATAAACTCCAAAACTACAGTATTGTATATCATACGACTCATCAATGGAATGATTCATGATAAGTGATAAGATTTGTCTATCATATTTTTGAGGTTTTACGTCTATTGGTAAACTAAAGGCCGCGTGACGTAGTCTTGTGTTATTAGCTAATAGCCTAATAAATACTTAAGTATATATACTAGTCTCAAGCGATTATGGAGCATTAAAAAAAAAAATTAGACCTTTAAACATGTAGCCTTATAGCTATAGATTTGAGCGATATAGGGTCAAATACTCAAAAGCCACTTAAATTTTAAAGGCGCTCCTTTAATCCCCAAGCGGTGACCGGTGACCGCTCTCTACTAACTAAATTATAGACCTTATTTCCGATGTTACCCTAACTTTGTTCATACAAAAGTTTAAACAAATTTAGGGTACGATATTTAAACAGGTTAAAAATATTTCTGTCGCAACAAATACTTCATTAAACGACAGAGATGGAGAGACATTTAAGTACAGATTCAAATTGAGCAGCATTTTAGTATTCGGGCGTTATCCGCATAATGGTAAAATTGAATGACAATTAATGATGATTTTTGTTTACTTCTATAATCTACTTAACTCGTCGAGTACCGGTTTTGTAGACACAATTATAGAACAATAGGTTGCGGTCACCGGTGACCGCTTGGTGTTTGACAGTTTAAATAATATTGAATATAAACATAATTTAGTTACTAGAACATATTCTAAACTGACACTAACACTAGCATAACATATCAAGTCTATCAAAATAAACTCTATATCACATGAAAATTGTTACCTGAAGGACACAGTTATCTGAAGGAAAACTAACGGTAAAATATTACAGCAGCGTGACTGATCGTTCAGCGTTTTATCTTGCAGTGACCATGAGTATAATAAGCACTCATATACATATAAATTATGAACGGGTATGTCTGCACAACTGCATTATTATTGTAATGCTAGTCACGAAGGAGTTTTTCAGTTATATAAGGGATTTTGAATGGAGTTGTTTTGTTAATATTACGGCTTTTAATCTCTGATAATGAGATACAACCTGATTGAAAAAGAATAACCTATGAGGTCCCTTGCTCGTTCTACTCCATAGGAATCTACTCTTTGGAGCAAGCAAATAGTTTCACTAGACTGACCGACATATTGACATTTTTAATATATAACAAGCTGACCTGTGCCTTTAGCCAAATGCCACTTTAGCGCTTATCTACAGAGAGAGTAGAAAACTAAATGTATGGGGATGACATTGACAAGTGTCAAAATTGACGTCATTTCAATATAATTTAGTTTTCTACTCTACAAGTAGACAAGCGCTAAACGGCATTTGGCTACAGCTGCTGGTATACTTCGTACCGCCTAAAATATTAATTTCTCATTTTAAACCTTCCTTAGACTTCCACGAACATTTATTAGCCAAGTCGGTTTAGCCGTTCTTGAGTCAAACAAGATTAACGAACTGAAATCCATTTTTATTTATATAGATAGAAGATAGATTTTTTGTGTTTTGATGTGCCTTCCTGGTGTTATTAAAATAAATGCTTTTGACTTTTGAGTTTTGACAGGGATAGACAGAGGTGTACATTTTACAATGTTCCACTATCTTTTTATTATTTATGATATGGATTCTAGGTAAAAGGGAGTCATCAGAGTGGATTCAACAGTACGAAATACTTCTGATTCTACAAATGATTTGGTAAAGGTATAGATTTAGGTGTTATAGAGAGGGAGCTGATTGTTATAAAGAAATATATATAAAACGGACAATTAGCGAGGAATTAAATTAAATTCGTAGATAAATTAGCATAAATCGGTTACCAATCTCTGTTTTACCTGTATCCCGACGTTTTTCTATACCTACAAAAACACGAATACATCATAAAATAGTTTTGTTCGGATAGGGGTAAACGATCAGTCGGATCACCTGATGGTACGTGATCAGTGCCGCCCTTGGACACTCGAATCACTAGAGGAGTTATAGGTGCATTGCCGGACTTTTAGGGGGAAGGGGGATAATCGTGCAACTACTAGATAAAATTAAACAGTTGTGCATATAGATAACTTTGGTATTTTCAAGAGAATCTATCCACGACATAATTCAAACTACAATGGAATCATAATTACAATAAACCGACTAATAATTTCTTTAGTAAAGTTAGTTATTATTCACCAATTGAATTTGAACCTTAAAGTAAGGGTGGAAGGATTAGATTGTATGAGTTTAGTAGTTAGCTACAATGTAATGGAAATTAGATACAAATGGTCTACACTTATATACATATATACTCACAAGGACCCGTGTTCTCTGTGTGAGAAAATACATAGGATATTATATAAATGTGAAATATCTTTTAAGATATGTTTATTGATAAAATATTACCTAGACTCTGATAAAAGGAGTATACGTTTCATAATACGTCATGTAACATACATCGTTTCAGCAACATGTTATGATACAATACCTGTTGCGTAACAAGATGCGTAACAGAGGGCTTAGAACGAGTTTGTTTCAAATTTAATGTGAATGATACGCCTATGACGTTCGGGGCTCAGATTGGACTGCTCCAATAAACCAACCAATCAAATCTAAGCGCGGTAACGATTCGATTTGGGCGTAAAACAAACTCGTATTAGGCCTTCAGATACCGAGTCTTATAACATAAGACACAAAGTTATGATAATGTTGCAGTAACATGTTGCATGACATATGACGGTAAAACCAGATTATGAATGAGAACCCGCTTTTAAAAGGAGTTTTATAACTATAATAAATCTAATATTATAGTATGTGTTGATACAATATATATATATATATATATATATGGAAAATAATGAAAGCAAAAATTGAATAGATTTCTTCAGTTTTATGACCACAATAAAATGTTTCAAATGGGAACTAAATTCGAAAATAGACTATGGAAATAAAAAGCAAACAACCAAAGCTTTCCTGACTACAATTAAGGCCATATTTACATTTTTTTTTTTAGAAGAGGAGAAGTAAAGAAATAAGGAAAAAATATTTTAATGGATAGATCTAGTCTTTGTATGTTTTTGGAAATTGTGTGTACCGCCTGTTTGTATGTTTTCTGTTATAGTGAGTGACTAAGTGTCACAGCAAAACTTCTACCTTATTTAGGCAGTGGCCATACAGTGAGAATCCATTGATAAGTATAGATATATGAATCCTATTGATAACTATGTTTGTATAGCCACTGCCTACAATCATTGCAATTTGACGGTTTAATGATATCTCCAGTCACATAAAAACAAGATCCAGTTATTATTTTGATTCTTATGATAGAACTGTAAAATTTTCAATGCTTTATCGACGTAACATATTCGTGATTTCGAGTGAGGATTCTGTATACATTTTTAAGGGTATTACTGCATAACAGGGTGAATATTTAATTAACACATTTTACCGTATGTACTGGAAATATCACCAAAAAGCCTTCCTATATCTAAAAAAAATATGTTTAATAGTCCAAAACAGGAGTGTATAATACAGACCGGCGAGCTGGGCGATGTTGTCGGCTGACCCGAACCGGTTGGAGCGCGAGAACAGGTGCGCGAACTCGCGCGGCGCCGCCATGACACTGCCGCCCAGACCCGTGATACCGTCGCGGATGTTGCCGCCGACGTTCCTGCCAGGGGAACGTTACAGTTATTGTAGGATACATGGGTACATGTGGCTGGTATTTAATGTAGTATTAATGATAACTATGTTTGTTTTTTCTTAAAAAAAAAGGTTGCCTAAGATTTTAGCCGCGGAGAACTTAACGGGTTACCGGGGCTCCGGCTCGAAGGGCAGAAGTAGTAACGGGGTGATTTTTAGTCAGCAAGAGCCTGACACTCCCTTCCGCCTCACCCAGGCGGAAGAATTCATTTGATGATTATCCGTAAAAAAGAAATACTAAGATTTTCTCCTGTGTCGTTGGGTACGTTTATAAACGTACAATTTCACATACACATGACGCCCAGACTTGAAAGAACAATTTGTGGATCACACAAAGAGTTGTTCCGTGCGGGAATCGAACCCGTGACACGATGCGCGGCAGCCAGTTGCCCAGCCAACCAACCGTGCAGTCAAATAGATTTCAATCAGATCTGACTTTATGAAAAATTGTTCCACAGACATCAATCACATTAGGATTTTCTTCTGAGTCGTACGACATCACACATCATACCCAACAGGCAAATTTCTATTGTAGAGGAGACCCATCGTGAAGCAGTTCATTCTCATAATTTGTTGATGATGGTCACCGAGACTCACTACACAAAGAATCTGGAATTAAACCCGTGGCAGCCCAGCCTCTGCGTCAACTGTGCAGACAATGAGGGTGATTTGATTGATCTGTTATTGATTGTAAATGCCTTCGTAACACGGGAGCCTCCCACTAGTGCAATGTAGAGGTGTGTACTCACTTGAGTCCCTGCCCCATGTCCCGCAGCACCTCCCTGGGCTGGCGGTGTGCCTGCCCGCTCGTGCCGTGTTGCTGCAACATGATCAACTACACGCTACACTTCGAATCTATTGCGGGTGATATTATTACAGGGTAGGCATTCAATTAACTAAAAATATATTAATTGAGATGTTGACAGGGTATGAAAATTAAAAATCTAATTAGTCCGTAAGTTAGGTAATGAAAAAATATTAATACACGTATTTTTTTATTTTGTCGTATAATAAAACAATACTTAAATAAAACGAATCAAAGTTTAGGAGTGGGGGCTAAAACGTCATTTCTACGTATAAAATGTACATAGAAGTGACGTCACGCGACATTTCAAATCAATATATCGTCGAAAGTATTCGTTTCTGTAAGAAAATAAAAATACGTGTGTAATGATTTAAAATAATTTACCAGACGGACATTAAAATAAAAATTAGGCATCTACCCTATTAAAACATATTATTATAAAAGCTTTTATTCATGTTTGCGTCTTCAAAGAACAATAACTAATATAAAAGCATTCCCCAAAGGCGTTTTCAATTGCTCTAAACCGTGTGACTGTCGGGAAACAAGAGTTACTGTAAACATGGAATATAATAGACTCGAATATACAAGTGAAAGTTCATGTTAAGCAGTTGCTCTTGCGTCTACTTGACTGACGATGTACTGTACTGATATTACGTCAAATTTGATCAAGACAAACAAAAGTATAATCGGTAGAAATTACGAGGAACGGAAATAAACGCAATTTTTCTTCCATATTCTCATTTTAACATAACATAACATCACGCCTTTTATCCCCGAAGAGGTAGGCAGAGGTGCACATTACAGCACTTAATGCCACTGTACAATGTAACACCCACTTTTCACTATTTATGTTATGAGTCCCATGTAATAGAGGGTGAGCCTATCATATACCGGGCACATTTCCAGACGCCGTGTTACTATTGAGATTAAAAATAAAAAAGCAAGTAATTCTTTGCCCGACCCGGGAATCGAACCCGAGCCCCCTTGCCCGGCAGTCGTACTTGCGACCACTCGGCCAACGAGTCAGTCATAATTTACTACGCTATTCAAATCACGTCATTGATCGAGATTATTTTCACAGCCAATGATGATGCGAATGCGATCTACTTCACTTCGATCTTTCGGACTGACAGTTACACAATAGCCTAGCTGATAGAATACATTTAATACATTACTTAGAAGTGTGATCTCACCTCCCAACTTTTGATCCGTTTGTTATATCCTTCCAATTTCTTCTGTAACTGCGCGATACAGAGCGCACTCTTCTGGTTCTTCTTCTCAAACACCGCCTTGATACGTTGCAACTGTTGCTTGTCTGCATTCGCCGCAAGTTTAAGGTACTCGTTTACATTGTCTGCAAACAATAATACGTATTTTTGACATAATATCTTGCAGGTGGACGCTACACTGTACGTGGCCATTACTCAAGAACCTTTCTGCGTCAGTGGCCGCTGGTTCTCTGCGCTATTTGCCCTGCCCTCCTGACCACTGACACTTCAGATTGCTAATCTATTTTCTCATCTCCGAAGGCACATAAACAATGTAACAAACTTTTCAAAAGAAATGTTATGGGTCTCATGTAATAGTGTGTAATTCCTGACTCTATGCTTTTACCAAGAACTTTGAAAAATGTCTTAATTTGTTCGACCCTTACCCTTACTTGGCAGGCGCCCTTGCGACCACTGCATCAACGAAGCAGTCAATAACAATTGTTTTCCAAAATATTTTGAGTGTTTTATTAGGCTAGACTAACGCAACAGGTCTTTTTTTTTAAGGGGGAAAATCATCGAATGACTGTTCCCGCCTGGGTGAGGCGGGAGGGAGTGTCAGACTCTTGCTGACTAAAAACTACCGGAGCCCCGGTAACCCGTTAGGGTCTAGAATGTACCCGTAAGTAAAGTATTAAATAAATGAGTCTCACCATCTCGTATAGTTTGTTCCAGTCGTATAAGATCCTTGGTGCGCTCGATCTTCGAGTTGAGGTGCGCTATCGCAGCCATCGCCTTCGATGACGTCACGTTCGCACCGTCACTCTCGTCTGTAACACAAACATACACATTTCACTATTATATTTTTGTACACTTAAACAAAGAAATAAATAAATAATAAGTACCTAATAGATTAAAATAAGAGCACGATGTAAACATAGTACAGGTAAGTTTGTAAGATTCCAACTCGGAAACGACCGAGTCGATTTTATTAAACTGTCAAACACCAAGCGGTCACCGGTGACCGCAACCTATTGTTCTATAATTGTGTCTACAAAACCGGTACTCGACGAGTTAAACTTATTTTGCTTTATAGAAGTATACCTTACTGCTTATAAAATAAAGAATATAATAATGTTATATTTGCGTCTAAGTATGTATGAAAAAAATAATCAATAAATTAAATTAAAACGTGCTCAAAGCGTACACTATTTATGAATGACGATTATGTCGAGCCAATACAAAATAATAATAAATAATTATAATCAACGGTGACTAATAATGTCGAATAAATCTCGATAGCTTATCAATATACACTCCAATCACAATAATCGCAATATGAAAACAAAGTATTTATTATGTTCAGGAATAGAAGTCACCAGTAGTACTGTGCTACTTCAAAAAACTATAAAAACTCGTAAACTGGTCCTGTCTTAGTAATACAATAGTTTTACAAAGAAATTATATGATGGTTTCACGATGTATAAGCACCTGATTCACCATGTTCATAAAGGATATGTAAGTATTCGATAAACTTATGTGATAAGGTCATATAAATAACATATTTAATTTAGTAATTTTTTTTTAAAGCTTTGCCTCACACTAGGATTTTCTCCTGTGTCGTGCGTTTACAAACATACAAGTTCACATACACATGACACCCAGACCCGGAACAACAATCTGTGGATCACACAAAGATCATATAAAGTATCTTGTACGTTGCGGGTCCCCAGACATTGTGAATTAGCCCGTAGTATTTTCATATTCAAACTAAAAACAAAATCGCATTGCAATAACATTAATAACCATTAAAACCATATGACCAATTATAATAAACACTTCAAAGTACTTACATCGCTTAAACAAACCAGTTTTTAATATACAAACAACTTGTTATTATGTATGTATGTCATTTATATAAATACTGCACCATATAAATAATTAGTTATCCTGTTAACAAACAGAATACATTGAATATTATATTATTTTAAACTAAATATCTAATTAACCTTCAAGCGGGCGCGCGTAGTCGAATCGACCGCGGTTAATACATTTTCGTTCGTATTTTTATTTTTAGTTGTCACATGCATTTCTAATTTCTAGTAGCCTGTCACTATCTTTTTAGGAGTAAAATAAAAACTATTTCGTTGCTTGAAGCGATCTCTACACTCCACAAATTACAATTATTTAGGCTCTGGCGCAGTCGTTGAAAAGACTACACGCGCCTGTCGTCGAATAGGTTACGCGCGACGCCCAACGCAACATACACATGTCAATATTATCTAATTCAGCTTGGAGTTTTGGTGTTTTAAAGCATTTTTTGTTTAAATAAGTCGTTTATGGTTATCGCAAAGTACAGTAATCGAGGAATTACAAAGAGAAGACGAAGAAGAGAGTGAATCAGAGCTTAGCAACCAAGGCTCTGAAACTTCTCATCACATAGTTTTAGAAGAACATCTATCTGATGTGATATCATCCTTGTCGGATTTAGATGAGAATAATTTGTAGCTTTCGGAAATAAATAGCTGTTTTACAGGACGCGATAAAGTAACGAAGTAGCAAAATCTGAAAAATTACTAGAATACTGACTCAGACGAAAATAAAATCAAAATTAATGAGTTTTTACAGTTTTATCCTTACTTTTTATTTATTTTTTGGTCTACGTATATAAACCAACCTAACATATGTAAACGGGTCTTAATTTTTATTTTGATCCAAAGAATATTTGAGTTACTTTAGGTGACTTAATAATTGCTTCTTTTTCATAATTTTAATTACTTGTTGTGACAAATTTCTCTTTAAAGACAATGATATTGTATCTTAGTACAAATTAATAAATGATTATCCCATAATTATTGCTTTCTTGGTCTTATTCATCCCATAGGTCTATTCGGTTACGCGCGCCCGCTCCCGTTACAAAAGACCGCGCGCCCGCTTGAAGGTTAACAGTTAATTTTAACCCGTTTTGTTCAGAGTCTAATAACAAACTAAAATATAGAGATAAATAGGTCGATATAGAAATTGGTAGGTCAATATTTTCGTTATCATGCGGTAACATAATTGTTGTTGATATTATATTTAACTACACAATGTTATATAAAACATTCTAATTAGGTGTTTTTGATATTAAAGTTTGTGTCAATTACTTCTAAATTTTTTTTTATACTTTATAGGTCGACATTTGACCACCATCTCGCCTGATGGTGGGCGATGATGTGGCCGACGATGGAGTACGCCTACCTATGAGCAACCTGTTCACTCGGGACTTGGAGACACCAAAGTCATATTTGACGGGAAACACAGCCTCCGGCAAGGAATTCCATTCCTTAGCGGTTTGCATGAGGAAGCTTGACGCGAAACGCTTCGTGCGAATGGGTGGAATGAATACTGAGAAGTTACAAAATTTTAAGTCGCGCTTAAGGCGGGAGAAGTCATTCGATGATTACCTCCCTTAAAAAAAACCCGTGGTATGCCGGAAGGTAGATATACGCGAGACAAAATGTGTTGTCTTTTGTGTCTTATAGAGGTATTATGTCGGCAGATAAGACGTTAAGTATAGTTCAGAGGCCTTAGTACGAGTTTCAGTTACGCTTAAAGTATTCGAAACGTGTATACATGCGTTCGGCACTCTGATTGGCCGGCGCCAACGAAGCAACCAATCACAGCGCCGAACGCGAACTCGTTACTATTACTTTAAACGTAAAAACACTCGTACTAAGGCCTCTGTCTCTAAAATTCTTTGTAAAATGACATTGATGTCATGATATTTAAGTACAATTACAAGTACAATTTCAAATTGAGTAGTCTTTCAGTTCGGGAGTTAGTTTCGAAAAGCAATGAATCTATGATCTGGTATTAGTTGTCGTATCTTATTTTATAAGCAGTAAGGTTGATAGTTGAAGTTTTACACTATTAGAAAACATAAGTATTCTATTGTATATAAATAAATTACTGTACATTATTAAAAATTATTTAAAAATACGATTCAATGAGGTAACTTAAGACAATTTAATATTAAATAAAATTCCGCTATTGTTATATAAATAGAGATAGGGTAAAGACAATTTTTAAAGTACATAAATTAAATTACCTTGATTTGAGTAGTCCCCATCCTGGCCTATAAACAAAAAAGTACATAATTAAAAAAAGGCTTAATGCTATAAAGCACTATTATCTATGCGTAAAAGAATCCTGCTATCTGTGCCCACCACCGAAATCTTATATCTTATACTATTATACTACTATTACATAAAGCGCAAAAATTTGTTTGTTTTTTGTTTGTTTGTTTAAACGCGCTAATCTCCGTAACTACAAGTCTGATATGAATAATTATTTTTGTGTTGGATAGCCCATTTATCGAGGATGGCTATAGGCTATAAAACATCACGCTACGACTAAAAGGAGCTGAACAGAGCGTGTGAAACTGCGAGGAAGTAGCTAGTAAAATCATAATTATCCTGAAAATATGTCATTTTTCATTTATATATAATTAATTTTATTAAAATACAAATGTATTACAATACTCATTTATCCTCATCTATTTACGTACTAGTTTTTTACGGTAATAAAATGTTCACGAACTATTTAGTGTTGCGACCGTATAAACCCATGTTCAGTAGTTTTTAACTTTATCACAAACAAAAAGACAAATGCGGTGAAGGACTAGTTTTATAACATAACGCCTTTTAATCCGTCAATGCCAAACGTTTTTATCTTGCCTACTAATTCCATGTAATAGGGGGTCGAATCTATCACCATACAACTAGCAGTGCTAAGCTTAGTTCTATTATTGAACACCTAAAAATTCAACGACTGTTTGCCATACCAGGGATCTGAGACCTCTTAGCTTTGACCACTCAACCAACAAGGAGGTCTTATCCTTTAGAAAGAGAACAATATATCATCTCCTACAGTTTTGGGATAGCTAGTTGTCATATTTACCTCTGTAAGCAGGCGATCCGTACTCATCAGCCGATGAGAGCGCATACGACACGTTGGGGCTGTATACCGCACTGGGGTAGTCTCCCGGCGCCATCAGACCTGGCAGGACCTTCTTTTGTGGCGAGTCTTCCAACCTGAAGATGTAGGTATCGTAATTAGTTCTTAAGTTGTGAGCTTAGAAGCAGTGGTGAAGGAAAAGTAAAACATTTGTTTAAAAAAAAAACGTAGGACTGTAGGATCTTCTCCAGTGTCGTCGGTACGTTTACAAACATACAAGTTTACATAGACATGACATCCAGACCTGAAATGATAATCTGTGGATCACAAAAAGAGTTGCTATGTGCGGGAATCGAACCCACTGCACGTTGCGCGGCAGCCGGTTGCCCAGCCACCGCGCCAACCGTGCAGGCATATTGATATCCAGCCTCTACTCTTCCCGCAGATGTCGTATCATAAGGGCCTGCTAACAGACTACACGTTCAACAGAAACCGGGCAATTATGCTGTCTTGATAAATGTGAAACTTCAATCTACGTACATTTTCTTGAAGAAGATAACTAACCTAACATAAAGCCTTTAAAATCCTTCACCATTACAGAATATCAAAAAATTGGCAAAAGGACATTTTTAAAAAGCAATCCGAGTACCGCATCCACTGCATAAAGCGAGTCAATATTAAATTGTATCGTGTCTCAGTCATTGTTTTGTTACAAAGTATTTTATACCAGCTTATATTTTTTTTTACAAAATGTTTATCCTTGGTGACATTTATCATCATACAATTCAATCGTTAATATGAATAATCACTTGACAATTAAGACAATTTGATCTTAAAATGAGAATCTTCTTTAAAAGGGCTAAAAGCACTATCTTTCCTAGGTTCCCTTTTAACTCGTCGAGTACCGGTTTTGTAGACACAATTATAGAACAATAGGTTGCGGTCACCGGTGACCGCTTGGTGTTTCACAGTTTAAATAGGTCTACTTACTCTCTAGAACTATTCCCGGTGGTGTTAGCTGACAATGGACTGTTGCCCAAGTCCCTGGAATGAGACTTGACATGGTGCGCGCGCTCGCCATGTCGCGACGACGACGTACTTGAAGACGGTTCCTGTAATACAAAACAGGTTTAATTTTATTTATAAACCCTTCATAAGCAACTTATTTGATTTTTTATCTTATTTTTGAGACAGGGAAACAAGTTATTACAGTTGCAAGCGGTTTAACGAGTATTTTTATTTAAAAATCAGTTGAAAACAAATTATACACCTTTGCTGCAATGTGCATGCAGATTCCCAGCGCGCTCGTCGAGACCAACTCTAGGTTGGACTTGATTGTTGACGAAAAGGAGGTATGGTATGAACCTAGGTACGACTTATAACTGCGACTAGCCATTGATGTGATTATAGGCAAACGTAAAGGCTAATAGTCAAACTCAACTCAACTCAACTCAACACTTCGAGCTGCACGATATAATTATAATAATTTGGCTTTAGAATCCCGCCGACAACGTTTAATTGTGATGAAATAAAAAAGGTTCTATACTTCTATTGATAGACAGTCAATCATAACTTTAATTTAAACAAACGTAAAAAGGTAAAATTCGAAAACATTCACAAAATTTACAGATACGGCTCTAGAGATATTCTAGACTTTTGACACACACATATAAATCTCAAAATTACTTAGACACAATGTACAGTTAACAAATACATCAAAAGGACTAGACAACACTTTTGCCACGATCCTAAAACTGACTAAACCGATTATTCACAAACATATAATATCACTTTAATATATTATTACAATTCATAATGAACTTCTTCACATGAAATCTTGTCTTATAATGAAGATTTACACATTCAAATTATATTATGTGCACCTGACAATGGGTATGACAAATGGATTTATATGGAAACAAAGATGATTGATAACTGCATTGATGGCCACGTCAAAACAATGATTGACATAATTATTATATACTTTAAGTCGGTATTTAGGTGTATTCATTGATCTTTTTAACTAAACAATAGTTTCGTTCGTGGTTTTGTCTGCTTGTTTTTAAATTAATGTGCAATTTATAATTGGCGCTTCGTCAAGGACGTTAAAAATTACGTTCTGAATATAACTGACCGAGTCCTCCTAATAACGATCTGCGGTTCATATTTACTAAATTCCGATTTTGTGGAGGGTAATCTAAGGTCGTGACTCAGGGATAATTAACGAAAAAGAGGGGGTTTATCTCCTGTCGTGTATCGGGAAATTACCCTAACATGGGTATTGAAATTATCAATTACACACAATCAAGTTCCGTACCGTGGGTGTACCAAATGTATTACAAAATACTTAATCAAATGACACATATAAAATCATTTATAAATAACTGTGTCACGATTCGCAAAAATCCCCAAAACTCTAATCAAAATAAAAAGTAATATACAATATAATTCTCAATATTAGTACTCTTCAAAGAACAATAGAAACTTTAATAAGAACCTAGTTTTTCACTGAACTAAAACAGTATTTTATACAACCTAGATTAGTTTATAGGTATCCTATCTAGGTTAAGGGGCGTGCACATCAATATTCGGAATACATAATTAGAGAGCGGTACCTATATACCTACCTAAGTATATAAAGAGAGCCTTATATAGAAGTTGAAGTACTTTCTAAACGAAATGTCGTAGTTCAACTGTCTAATGCACTGAATCTGTTATGATTTGCGAACAATGGTGCATTTAGAGGCGTTTTCTTATGACTAAACTGTTCTAGAGTAATGGAGTAACCGTGTTTAATGTCAAGTTAACGGAGAAAGGAGAAATTAAAGATTAGTATGACTGCACGGTTGGTGCGGTTGCTGGGCAACCGGCTGCCGTGCAACGTGTCGCGGGTTCGATTCCCGCACAGAACAACACTTTGTGTGATCCACAAATTGATCGATAGTGTCTTTGGAGTCTTTCACGTCTATGCTTCAAACACCCTTTTTACGTCAGCTAGAAAAAATAGCCTGAATATTCCTGAAGTTGTAGATAATAAATTCAATTAATAAACATTTTTTTTATTTCAGTTTTTTATTTTATTTTATGTTTTAATTTTAATTTTAAGTATTTCTTAGTTTTTATTTTACTTTCCAATTATTACAAATACTGAGAAAAGTGTCATCGTTAGACTACTGTGCATGCTGTGACACCTTAAAATGTTGTGCATTTAAAATGTATTACAATGTAAGTGCTTAGATATAAGACCTAATGTAGCAACTACTGGTTGTCCATATTATAAATAAATAAATAAATAAATAAACATCAAACAAACTCTAGACACGTAAAAGTACCTATTTAGATTTTCTATGCATTTTATATTTTTAAGGTGGGAAAATCATCCAATAACTTTTCCCGCCTTGGTGAGGGAGTGTCAGACGCTTGACTAAAAACCACCCCGTTCCTACTTCTGCACTTCAAGCCGGAGCCCCGATAACCTTTTACGATCTCGGCGGCTCCGTATCGACAGCAGCCCTATTGAGCTCCATCCGTGGTGGTCTGATGGCTCATTGAGGCGCGCGTAGAAGCTGGTTCTAGTCTGGCGGAAAGTTACCTATGGTCGCCGTCCGCAGGCCCGTGCATTTTCTATACATGCGTGTTAGTCATGTCACCGCACTGAGGCGGTTTAAATCCTTGATAGTCCCCATCACAAACAAGACAATCCATAACAATTTTCCACATCAAAGTCCAATGACCAATTTATACAACTGTTTGTTGTCAGGCTAACGTGTAAATATTATACATTTGCTATTTACATTCAACCCCAATTTTCGATATCATTCTTCAAATAATCCAGGAATAAGCATTAAGCTTATCTAGTCTTCCCCTGTCAATATATCAATTTATCTACCCTGCTATCCAGGTTATTATTTATGGCAATATCGTTTCCCGATATATCAAGGGGCACGATGGGGTAAAAGTGCTATTTTAATGGCCGTTTTTATCAACCACTTCTAAACGATGTCTAATTAAAAAGTTCTTAGCGTGATGTAGCACCTAAACTAACCTCTTATACTTGTACTTTTAGGTGTCAGTTATACCTACCAACAAGTGAATGTAGGAGAAAATGGGAATTAAAAATTAAGAATTAAGCTATGTTGAAGAAAGCAGCAATTATTTTTTACTGAACATGAATTCTCTTCTTTAGGATAGGGCCTTACGACGCGATTTGCCCCCGCGCCTGTCAGGGTGACGGAATGCAGACGGAATTTTCTAAACTCACGATACCGCAGTTTTCTGCGATCCCGCAGCCGCCGCGGTTGCGATTATCGCCCGCAAACTTGGCGGTTGATTATCGCAAGACGATAAACGGTGTTTAAACAATCAGTTGAGTTCCAGACCGGCCGTTCTATTGCAATCACCCGCCAACTGATCGCAGTGCTAAACCTAGGCGGGACCGCAGCCGGGCCTGCCGGTGCAGCGGGAGACGCAAACAATCGCAACCGCAACCGCAAACAAAATACAATGAAAAACAGTAAAGTATAAACAAAAGCAAGCATTATTTACAAGTGCACAAAGTAATTAATGCTACATCGACAATAAATACACTAGGTATTAGTTTGATGACGAACTTGAATAATGGACCTTGAAACCAAGAGTGTAGGACACATTTTTGCACATTTATGTATCTGTGTAATCAGGGAAGTAAATGATATAAACAAAGTCGAGACATTTGTTATGTGAAAGTTGTTTGAACTATGAGTCACTATGTGAGACAAGTACATACATAGTATAAAATTTATATACAAGTAGTTTTATTGGCAATAAAAGTTTGCGAAGTCTGGGCTTCTAAGATTTACAAGTTCTTATAAGGGTGACTAGTTTGCTATTTGTTCGTACTTTCTGGTAAACCTCATGAAAAAGATCTGGTTAACCTCAAGATGATTTAATAAACCTCATGCGACTGTCGCGCTGCTACCACGCGCTGTGCGCCACGTCGCGGGTCGCGGAATGATGCTCATGAATATAAGCCTATAGCATAGCTTGAAACTAGTCGAGTTCCTTGTCAAATAATTACGTGAATAGTAGTAGTAGCTCGTCTTGCAAGATATTTACTTAACCAAATGGTTACGCATTTCTTAATCCTATGTCCACGAGAATCTTGAAAATTTATAAAACAGCATACTTATTGTTAATACAAAATGCGAGAGTGAGGTCTAGAAAACAATGTCACATTTTTTCTCTAAGCTTCTAAAGAAATATTGCAGAATTTTGGTTAAGACCCCGATAGGTGGCGACCCCAACCTAGTTGGGTAAAGGCCAGGAAACACATAGTAAATAACTTTCTGTTGCAGTAACACATTACACTAATTCCATTGTGTTTATAGAAAACTTTGTTTGGAACCTGTTCGGAAGTTTTAATTTTTTGATGGATGGATTGGATTAATTGCATGGACTGGGCTGGAATTGGTCATTTACACATCATCATCATCATCATCAACAGTCTATAAATGCCCACTGCTGAACAAAGTCTCTTCTCACACGGAGAAAGTTTATAATTTGTAATCACCACGCTTGCTCAATGCGGGTTGGCAATTACAAACTTATAATTAAAAATTATAAGTCCAGGTTTCCTCGCGATGTTTTCCGTCACCGATTGTCAGTGGTATCCAGATAATCTTAGAAAGTACATATAACTCGGAAAAACGCCACATTGGTACTTGCCGTCGGTAGGTTTCGAACCTAAGACATGAGAGCTGGGCGTCTTAAACCTTCGGGCCACCACGACACAACATCACCTCTTCTTTACTGGTGGTTTCTAGTGCGATTGTAGACTTTGGTTTCGTTAATTCAATGTCTAAATCAAGGGTGAAAGTTTCTTTTTGGAGTCCGATTTGCAAATTGTGTGCTGTAGATAATAAACATGATACACTTTCTACAAAAGTGGCTAAAGGAAAATTGTGGTCAGGAAAAATCAGTGATAATATTACGGATTATTTCATATTCGCATCAACATAATTATAATAAACACTGATCAATATGTAGGTTACAAACCAATTTTAACTAGAGGAAAGTACATCATTTATTGCAATATGTATTGTGAAACAATTTGTTGTTAATTTATATTATTTATATAGTAATCACGTGTTGGCATGACACGTTTGGTATTAATAGATATTTATTAGGTAATAGCAACAATATGACCAGTCTCCCGTTTATCCTTGACAGACTGAGACACATAGACAGATACCCATAATATAACCCATCCAAAAAACTTTTCAAACGTTTTGTGAAAGAAGTGGTTGCACGGGTCCATATTCAATAACATTACACCATTCTTAATTTCTGGACATAGGTACTCTACCTACTTATATCTAAAGGTGGGTGGCTATCCATTTATCAAAGAAACTAATCCTTACTGTCATCAAACCAAAGTCAACCAAAGTAAAGTATTAAACATAACGAAGCGCCTTTTATCCCCGAAGGGGTAGTCAGAGATGCAAATTACGGCAATTAATGACACTGTACAGTGTAACACCCACTTTTCACTATTTATGTTATAAAGTCCCATGTAATAGGGGATGAGCCTATTGCCATTACCGGGCACAATTCCAGACTCCGTGCTACTACTGATATTGTTTTTAAAAACCCAGTAATCAACCCATTGCGCGGCAGTCGCACTTGCGAACACTGGGCCAACGAGGCAGTAAAGTATTAAACTGTCAAACACCAAGCGGTCACCGGTGACCGCAACCTATTGTTCTATAATTGTGTCTATAATGACGGTACTCGACGAGTTAAAACAAGTTAAAAAGACCAGATCAACACGACTGGAACACGAAAATCAGTTTACAGTTAACATAGCACCTCTCATAAAACTCAGATTTTAAATAAAACACTTCATACTTCCAAAAAAACGACATGAAACCACGTCCTAAATGCATCATAATATAGTCAGGGTAACAGGGGTCACCAGCAATGAACCCTGCGATGAGACATCACAGATTTGTATCCTTGATAGCAACTTGAATTAGTGTCTGACGCTGTCATCTGTCTGGGTCTAATTAGCTCATAAACTCCCAGTTCGAAGATACCACGGGAAATATTATAGCATTAACTAATGGAATTGATAATTTAGTATTGAGGTTTGGACTATTGGCAAATCTAGTGCTTAATGTAGTCGCTGAAATGAAACTATGGGATATTTCGTAGAACCAAAGAAGTAGGCTGATGGGTATCTCAAATTGTAAGTTTTGACTGACACTGGAAGTATTGCTAAACATCAAAATATTTAATCGTTTATTGATTGTAATATTTAAATAATGCGGGCATAATGCCACATTCTCACTGTTATAACTAAGAAGTCATTTTGTTGAGATACGGATTGAAATCGAAATTTCAAGACGGTGGCACGAATAGTCGGACGAGAAAACTGGGTGGTTGTTAGTTAGATTTCTAAAGACCAGTCTGTTACCTAAATGGAGAATAGACTTTGATAGTTTGTTACTATAATAAAATCATAATTAAGAAAAAGAAGCATTATTAAATCAAGACAACTCCCACAGGATGGCAAACAACGGTAACGATTAGTGGTTTTAGTCGCCCCAAGGCCCAAGCCGTCGAACGCTGTAAGTTTCCTAAAGCCATTTTCGACTCAGCCCCTAAATCGCATAGATCCTTAAAGTTGGTCATATTACTACATCGACTGCTTTGATCAATAATAGTGAAGATTCACTGAATATAATAATAGTGAATATGAAATAAACACGTGAGGATCCGAATGATAGACATGTAGGTATTGGTAATACATTAAAATTTCGCCAGTACGTGCAGAATTAGAAGTCCCTTAAATATGTATAAAATATTATACTTAATCCTGTGGTTATTCGACTGACTAAAACAACAATTTTAGAATTCTAGGCTGGTATAGCTAAGACCATACGTGCTTGGACGTTCCATGATCATCAGTCAATCATCAAATGCTGTCATATAGAATAACAAGTGCAAGTATTAATTATTCTATTAGACTATTACAGCGATAATATAGTGATATTAGCAACTGAGTACCAATTGCTAGTCGAGGACACGGGGCTTAGTGTAGAACAATGTGTTTCGCACATTGATTAGTTCGTTTGAATGTTACTGCATGAATGGATTCTAGTTATCGTTAGTAGATTTTCAGATTACTGTAAGGTTATTGAAGTAAGGTTACCATATTCTTAAGTAAAATCAGCATTGTCCGACGAATAAGGTTAAGGATATTAGAAGCAATGTCCAATTTTCGTTAGTCAATATTTTTTAAGAAAGGGTGTTTGTTTTCCACATCTACTTCAACTCAAAACTCCCTGTCATTTTTACTTTTCCTGACTCAAGGTCATGATCCAACCACCTGGTAGACGGTTGCATTTACAACTTGATCCGCACAAAGGCCAAAACCAGGTTAAACATTCAAAGAATGAAATGTAAGTGCTCCAGTTGCCTCGACTTTAGGGTACCAACAATTAGACCGGTTAATCGCGTGTTCTTGTTATTCAACTTATAAGATGTTATTATTAGAAGTGTTTTAACAAGTATGTAAAGGATAAAGATACACCCATGCTCCATCAGGTAAATACGCTATTGTAATATCACAGGTGGCGATCCTATTGTCAGCACCGAGATTGTAACTTAGCTCTTTGAATGGTCGCAAGTGTAGCAGATGAGAGTGAGGACAAAAAAGATACTCCCCAAATGAGATTTGGACCTTAATATATGGATTCAATGTTCCTGATCTATCAAATAAACTTACAAAGATGAACTCGTTTATCACCCACCAAAACATTTTACATTGGTTACTAAGCACTAAGCAGTGTTTAAACAAAAACCTGTAGATTACAAAATAAATATTGACTTACACTGACAACATGATGTACAGTCGAGGGCGATTGTACTCTGGACCTGATGACTGCATCATCAGTCACCACTGCAGGATCCCTCGCCAAATCTGCCGTGGACGGAGACTGGCTTCGACTGGACCCCTTACTGTGCCCATGACCCACGTGCAGTGTGTCCATCTCCCAAATAGACCCTCAAATAGGACTCATTAGGAACTTTATCTATTCTTTATTGCTTCTCCAGTTCATAATAGGTTCGAGAAGTCGGTCAGTGATCCCGCCATCGCGCACTTTATCTGTAAACAACGATAAAGAGAAAATTAGAACTTTGAACTATTACAGAGAGTATTTGACAGCGTGACATTTAAGTTTTTTATCATATTATCTTTACCGCAAAGGTTTGTTTCTTGGTTTATGTTAATGAGTGTGGTGTGCATTTAACACATTTTGCCTAATAAATGGAATTTAAACGTAAACAAAGCGTGTAGCGCTTCGTACAACGGAATAGTATGCATATTAATCACTATCCGTGCGAACTGTGTTAGCACCAGCGAACCAGTCAAGCGTTCCACCGCGTAAACTGTGATATGTATCGATACGTTCCCATTGCATGTGCAATACATAAATAACGGCTGTGCCGCAGTATACATAATATGAACCGTCTCACACCTCCAATGAATTTCAAATCACTGCTCTATTTAAGTGTAAACTTAACAGACTTGTATCACGTTCACGTGTCACAAAATTGAAAATCTATAAACGTGCTGCAATTTCAGTGTTAATAACAAAACGTATCGCCCCTTATATCGTCGGCTTAGAATCTGTTATGACTGCAGATAAGCCGATAACTGGATTTGCGCAATTTGAAACGCTGAGCGCTAAAACAAACAATGTGTTTTGTGCGATAAATTGACGACAGGCTTTCCTTTGTTTATCGTAAGTATAGCTACCCCAAAATTAAACATGAAAAGAAGAAACACCAACAATTGTAACTAGACACTAATTCTAAAACATTAAATCGATAACGTTGCCAGCAAATTGACCTGACTACTATCTGTTTGTAATAAAACCATTATATAGATCACCCTCTAATCAGTTCGTCCGTACATTCAGTACATTTGCACTGTAATGACACAGGTAGTACAAATCACAAGCAACTTGAGACTTCAACGCTATCAACCGGTGCCAGGAAGTCTCGACGTCTGCCAAATTGTTCAAACATATTGAATACTATGTCTTAGAAATTTCGTATCGGCACAAAATGTTCCTTAAGAACTTGGTAACTAAATACTGTTGACAAACTCGGGTGGGCAATCGTTTAAGCATTCTATGTAATGCGTAAAAGCGATTTTCAGTTTTGTTGGTTCATTCTTATTCCGAGTTGAGTGAGATTTCGTAAAAGGGTAGTGATACAGTTAAAACATTATTCGTAGTAAAAGATAAAAGTCAGTCGATTAACGTATGTACATAAATCTACTAGTATGTACATTACCTGAATTTTCTATCATCTTTTTTATATAATCTATCTCTCACTATTTATAAGATCGTTGACTTCTAATAAAAATACGATACAACATCGTTTTGTTAACGGTGTCCTCATATAAACTGCAACAACTACCTAGATATAATTAAAATCAAATAATCTTAATTTTAATGGTGTAATAAATTGTAGAGTTATTACCGCGATTGACCTATATTGATGGCTACTGTTTATTTACGAGGGAGCCGTTTCAGTTTATGATAGTGATTACGTGTAACGTGAATGAACAGATGAGTCCTATCAACTGGCTTTTGACGACTATACCGCAGGGCAACTCATTAAGTAATGGAAGATGGTCCTTGTATCAAGTTTGATGAAATGATTGGTACTATGTAAATTTGGTATTAAGTGATGATACCAAGGGCTTGATAGTACCCTAAATATCTCCGAAGTTCCGTTAAGAGAGAATCTGAAGTTATTTTTGGTCGCCAAATACGTAAAACAACGAAGTACGTTAGACAAGTGTTTTGGTATTAATTTACTTGTCCAGTACAAAAAGAAACTATACTCTCTGGGGATTTAAAATAATGCTCAGAGATTTTTTTCCGATACCGACGGTGATTCAGTGTTTCTGCTTCATTGCATTGTAACTTTATATCATTCCCCAGAAGATATCGTTGAATATTAATTCTGGATATTTAATACTTTTACAATAAAATGACTGAATACCTAACCTAATAATTCTTAATGTAACGTAGTAAAAGGTTGTTCAATTGCTCGTAAAATAACACTTAGGGCAAGGAATTTTAAGATACCTACTAAAATTTTCCACTCAGACCAAAATGGCGGATTCGGTCCGTTATTTGCAAACAACTTTACGTTCTAATATATAAAGGTTGATGTTGATACCTAGTGAATCATTCGCCCTTTTGTGTTTTATTATGACTAAGACTTGCTGCGCAATTCCTTGTTTGATCCTAACTAAATATAATTTTTACAAAACATAGCATTTAATTAATTAACCCGATCCAATACCCGTTATTGGCATGCGTGTGTAGTGACTAGTAGCGTATAATACATTATTCATGTGGCTAAAAACTAATTATCACCACTTGTAATAAGATCTAATTGTCTGTTAACCTATGCATGTAATGGGGCTATGTGAACATGGGTTGAAAAATAGTCTCTGGTCCGTCTACGCTCGTTGTGCTTATAGGTGTTTGATAACCTTCGTAGAATACTTCATCATCAACGCACGTGCATTATTATCAAATGTCATTCATTTGTGAATGGCATAAGATGCACGTATTATATAGCCTTAATAGCGCAATCTTTGTTCATTGTACAATGTAATGTTAATCTCAAACATTAAGATCGATTGAATCGATATCTGAATACAAAGGAAGATTTTTGTTTAAATTATCAAGATAAAACACACTTGAATTTGCGAATCCGTGAGAACCAGTGAGAACCATCAATTTTATAACGTGCAATCTACTTACCTGTTTAATATTGACATCGCAAATTATGGGTTTGTAGGTGATATGATATAAAAAGAACAACCCTTGTCATGTGACGGTTTTCACAGGTTTTTAGTCACCAAGGTCATATTTGTATTGCACGAGCTTTCGAACCCTCGTACGCGACAATCAAAGCCGAAGACCTATTAACAATTCAACCATGTTACTTGGAACTCTTCACTGAGGCTATACAAACTTAATATGATACGTTTATACATTTCCAGTCAATTTAGAACTAACTGAAGAACTATATATTTTCTTATATCGTATCAGAAAATTCCATTAGTTCTACGTGATGTCTCACGCAGAAAGCAAATCAAAACGAAACGCCCAGGAATGCCATCCGTCATCAAAATTCTGTTCCACATTTACATATCTGACCCCTAACATCATTACATTGTTCGTGAGCTGCGGCTATTAATAACCAAATCGAGAGGTCTCGTGTAATCGATATCAATCGGGCGAATAATTGCAACTTCAATTTATTCGACTTCACTTCATGTTTGAGTGAGATATCGCGAACAAGATGAGTCAATGTACGGCCAACTATAATTTCCTGTGCAGATAGTCAATTATAACAGTGCATCTGTTATAATGACCGGAGTAAGATGATTAATAGCTTATTAGTTATCGACCTTATTCTCGTTCATTAACTGTCAGTTTGAAACGTACTAAGTGGCTAATATTACAATGTTTGTTACGCACACATCTTCACGCGAGTTCTACTAAAAAGAGGCCCACTTCAAACGAGGCCCTTTTCCATTTTCCATGGTTGCACGTACTTTCCCTTCGTTATTCTTTATGTGTTGTGTGGTGTGCGTGCATAACTCTGATAAGTCGTGGCATTTTTTTCATTGTTCGCATTTCTACTCGATTCTGGGACACCTAGCTCAACAGCGATTTGTTATGCACAAACCAGCCACGACCAGAGCAAATTTTTCTTTCGGACACAAAAATAAATTTGAAAATCCGAGACATTTCTCTTTTGTGATGTCCGTAGCAAGAGTGGCCTCGTAAGTCCACCAAAATAATCTCGAAAATACAATGTATCTTCATTTAAATAGGTCGATTAGGTACAAATAATAATATTTGCCCGACCCTAGTACGTATAAAATACATAAAAATATAGTAAGTTAGTACATTAGCGTACAAACAGGATATTTTACGAATACGGTAAACGACCTGTACTTAATACTATGTAAATAAGCAATTTAAGTATAAGCTTTCGACGTTCATAAAAATATTAGAGGCCTACTTATGAAAATTTTGACAAAAAACGAATGAGACAACACTTCGTTATTTTCGAACGTGGGTGATGAATCGATGAATCAATGCGAGTCCTTATATATGATTCGTTTTATACAGTACCATATCAACAATATATTGTATCCTTGTTAATGTAATAAATGCGATAGAATGTTTATTTGTCTCTCTTTAACGTCGCAGTGTTTTAACGATATAATTTTTGAGCCTACAGATATTTACGAGTGCGAAGAATCAATATAGACCAATTATTTTCTTTGACCACACAGACAAACTAGTAGAAATATAAATGTTCAAGTTTGGTCGTAATACGAGTGCTAAGTCTCGGATTAGGTTCGACCTTGTTTGAAACCAACATAGGTATTTATGATTTGACATAACA